AAAAACATTATCTGAGGCCTTGCTGTTGGATGTAGTTTACCGTCATACCCAGGACGCGGATGTAGTTTATCGTTATACCCAGGACGTATAGATAGATAGATATGAACAGATTGAGATAGATAGATAGATAGATAGATATGAACTGATTGAGATAGATAGATAGATAGATAGATAGATAGATAGATAGATAGATAGATAAGAACAGATTGAGATAGATAGATAGATAGATAGATAGATAGATAGATAGATAGATAGATAGATAGATAGATTCATGTGTGGAGTGCGTGGTAGATGTTATTTAAAATATCATCACTATATAGTTGCATACTGTAATAAAAACCTAAACAAAATGGTGCTCGGTTTTATTATGCTGCGTAATCATAGAATTAGAAATGGCTAACATTGCTGTCTTCGAAAAGCAGAAGGCCTGATATTCCTTTATCCACATTAACAATTCTCTATCATCTGGTTTCAAATAAGTAAAGTCTTAGACGGACAAGAAACGATATTCAACTCAGATGTTAATGGGCGCCACTTATCTTACAAATTGTTGAAACTACCATTCCTGATCTTCAGGTGAAAATTGAATCATTTGATTTGTTTCATCGTCGGTGTTTCCGTCAGCTCACTGCCAACGGAACTTCCACAAACCACGTCTCAGCCCGAACGCTACTATGCCGAATGTTTCCAACAGGATAATGATATTTCCGTCGGCGTACTAATCAATCTGACAATAATTAAATTGCTGGCGTGTAATGATTCGATTAGAAGTGCTTTCTTAGAGTTCTTGCTTGACCTGCAAATTCGCTATTTATGCTTTGATTAGAGTCTTAACGAAATGGCAAATCAGATCAACTTGATCATCGGAAGAAATAGAAGATCAAAACGCGATAGCAAAGATAACCAAAGAATGGTATTTTTAATGATAATTTTAACCGTTCACTTGTGTAGAATCTGTTGGCATTCATTGACCGTATAGCCATTTCTACTCGAATTGTTTTCTTCTTCGCGCCATTGTCTACAGTCTAGTTTGGTTTGGCTTCTTTAACGGCATATAACCTCCTTATAAGTCATTTAATGCTTAAAGTTTGTTTTCTTGTGAGTTTTGTTAATTTTCTTTTAATGTATCGCTGGTATTTCCTTTTTCCAAAAATGTATTATTCGTAATTTTTTAATATATAGCTGATATTTATAGTTTCAACAAAGTACTCTTCGTATTTTTAAACGCTTTGCTGGTATTTTTTTTGTCTAATAATTTATTCTTCGTAATGTTTTTTATTGTATTGCTGGTATTTCCTTTTCCCAATAATGTATTCTTCGTAAATTTTAATGTATTGCTGGCATTTTATTTCACCAATGATTTATTGTTCATAATTTTTAATGTGTTGCTGGTATATTCTTTTACCCATGATGCATTATTCGTAATATTTTTTTAATAAATTACTGGTATTTTCTTTTTCCAATGATTTATTCTTCGTAATATTTTGAATGTATTTCTGGTATTTTCTTTTTCTAATAATGTATTGTTCGTAAATTGTTTAATATGTTACTGTTATTTTCTTTTTCCAATAATTTATTCTTCGTAATTTTTTGTAATGTATTTCTAGTATTTTCTTTATCTAATATTTTATTCTTCGTAATTATTTTAATGTATTTCTGGTATTTTCTTTTTCCAATAATGTATTGCTCGTAATTTTTTCTAATATATTTCCAAAGTATTTTCATGTTTTGTCTCCAATTTTCTGGTTCACTATTTGTCCATAGTTGGGACCCTAACTGGTGCTACCACCCCGGGTCAGGGTGGACCTGGGAACAGCATCAATAAAGAGGTACAACAGTCTGTGATTACTTCATTTTTTTATGATAATGGTAATATTAGCTGTTTCCTTATAAGTAAACATTTGTCATTCAGTGACCGAACAGGCAGTGACACTGTGAGTTGAAATTTATGAAATCTTTTCTCTTAAAACAATTTTCTAGGAAAACAGCTTTCTAAATTCCACTAGCTGTTATTGCCCTTTCCTGCTTTGAAGGGCATTTCCTTCTTAACCTTATGTTTGAAGTAATGTGGAATTGTAATATTCCTTTTTGTTGTTACTGTTGTTGAAAGTCCGCAAATAACGTCGTTTCTGTTATTTGGTATAATTCTTTGCGATTGTTTAAGAGGTTCAAAGAAGGATGATTCTAGCTGAGGTTTATACCAATTTTAAAGAAATTTGCGAATAACCTACGCACCAAGCCATACATGTAATCCACTTAAAAGTTGTCCTTTAAAATATACAACTAACTCTCCTAACAAGTACCCCACTAAAATATCTAACCAAACTATAAACCTTATTATATAAAAAGATCATTGACAAAACAGCTAATCCCCCAATATTAAAAAATGAATACATATTCTATTCATCCGAACCTGTCCTAAAAATATTGTCGGCATTAAATAACCCACTGAGGTTGATATGTCGTAAAACAAAATAAACCAAACCAAACTAAACAAAGACGTTTAAAATTCTTCAGCCATCATGATTTTATCTAAATCTAAACAAATTCAGAAAGCAACTAACGGTGACAGAACTCAATATAGTATCAATGTTTTCAGAAAAATAATGTTAAAAATCATTGACTATTTTAAAAGTATATTGGTTTTTGAACAAATGCTTAGCGCTAGTCTGTTTAATTTGGAAATGTCTTGACAGCAACAATTTTAAATTGTGTTAGAAAAAAAGTCCACTGAATTTGGTGTGAAATATGCAACTCACAAGCTCTCCATGTTGTTTGTGGTAGCTATTGTGCATCCATATAGCATTTTATACGCTCTGATCTCACCTTTGAATTAAAATCTGGGCGTTGTTGAGCCATAAACATTTAAAATAAATTCAAATTGTTAGGCGCGGTCAGATCCACCCTTCTGTTTTTCCCATACTGCATCATTATTTTAGGGCGAAAATGTTAAGGTTGCTGCAAATATGACTTAGCCTAGTCTGTCATAAGGAGTAGCTCATTATTTTATGTGAATTCTCCTGCATGTGCACCTAGAAAATCATAATTCGAAATCCTGGCTTTTATTTGGGTCAAAACAGCAACAATAATTGTCAATAATATGCAACTATCTCTGCCATAAGGCAATCTTTAACAGAAAACACCTTTAACATGAGGTTTTTTGTAATAAAAATTAAGTGAAATGACGTTCAGTTAAGAGACAGAAAAAAATAGCCTAAACGATTAGCACACATGTTCGGATCTGACAACCCACTCAGTAGGCCGAGCATAGAGATAAATACCAGCAAGGACTCTTTGATCAATATAGGAATTACATTAATACCAATTCTTGTGCGATCACCGAAGTTAAGCAACGTCGAGCTTGGTTAGTACTTAGATAGATAACGGCTTGAGAATACCATTTGCTGTAAACTTGGATATGTCCGTGGTGTAATGGATAACGGCATAGAACTGGAAGCCAGAGAGCTGAGGTCCAATTCCAGTCGGGTTCGTTAGATTAATTACTCGCAAATACCCTTGGGAATTGTATGGAATCACTTCTCCGCACTCCCAGTTATGGGTTAATTAGTAAAACTTCATCAGTAAATAATTATTATCTTTAAAACATTCTTACAATTCAAATATATTTCCTGGCTTTTAATAACCTGTAAATTGTTGATAAGGCGTAAAAAATACGAATCCATCGATCCAGTGTCTGGATACATACATTGGCTATAAATCTCCAACATTACACAAGTGAATTACCCAAGATATATGTAATGTATTGCAGTATCATTTTAGTTGAAATATACTGTCTTCTTTGGCATTTTTGAGTTCCAGCCTTGAGTCGGACAGTGCGTAAAAGTCCCGCTCTCTGCTTCATTGTCCTCCTACGCAAAAGCGAGAGAGAATGAACTGATAGGAGACTTCTCTGAGTATATAAAAGGGTACGATAGTAATTGATTACTTTCAGTTTACGAATACATAAGATCCCATAAGAAGACGAAAAGTGCACTTTCTCAAACGTTGCCAGTATAGAACACCAAGAGGCGCATATTAGTCTGATGCGGAAGATATACAGGGCGTCCATAAAGTTCTTGTGCACTTTAAAAAATTTATAACTTTATTTGTATTTGCGATAGAAATAATCTGGAAAAAATGTGATTTCAGGCATTACTGTAAATCATTTGGCAAATTTAGAATTTTTTAAAGTGCACACCAACTTTATGGACACCCTGTATACTAATGAAAACTATGACAATCTATTATTATTATTATTATTGTTACAACTTTCGTGAAATATTAATGAAGGTTTTTCGATTATAGATATTTGTTTCCCTAATTTCCGGAATATATTTAAATACGAATTGTTCAATATCTGTGAAATGTCGGTCTTTATAGGGACTTATGTAAGAGTTTTGATATTTTTGTATTTTTGGTTCGGTTTTATGATTTTCATGTGACAGTTCCTGTTATCTTGTCGGTCTTCGAGGTCTTTTTTTTTTCTTTTTTTTTAATGGTTTATGAAAACCGAAAGTTTAAAATTGTATTGGAAATAAATAATATCTCTATATAGGAAAAATAAATTAACTTTCGTTAAATATATATATATATATATATATATATATATATATATATATATATATATATATATATATATATAGGTATGTATATATATATATATGTATGTATGTATGAATGTATGTATGGGCTCATTAATCTGGTTCTCCAATCCAATTTGACGTCTAGATGTTATTTTGTTTTTGAGTTTAATTATATCTTGAATCCAAGTCCTTTAGATGATTTGCTTCCCAAAAAATAATTCAATTTTTTCTTTTGCTGCTAAGACTAATGCGGATTACATGTGGTGATCGTTATCATCTTTATCGACCAATATATATATATATATATATATATATATAGAGAGAGAGAGAGAGAGAGAGAGTGGGAGAGAGAGGGAGGGAGAGAGGGAGAGAGAAAGAGAGTGGGATAGATAGATAGATAGATAGATACGAACACATTCAGATATAGATAGATAGATAGATAGATAGATAGATAGATAGATAGATAGATAAATGGAAAAGACAGAGAGACAAAAGGAAAGAGTATAATAAGAGGATTTTATCCGTAACGCAAATAGATACAAATACATTATTTTGAGTTAAGAGCAATTTCTATTGTTATCAACTATATGCATTACATTTTATTCAATTGTATATTCACCGTAATTTACAAGGATTTGTTGCCACTTCGAGACACTTGATTAAAAATGTTTGTCACATGTTCTTTTGATGTGACAAACAATTTTCTTTTCTTTTCTTTTCTCACGAAAACATTTTGCAATGATTGAAAAATATCTGGAGAATATGGCAGATGGGTTAGAACAAAGCAAGTGACTTCCAAAGATTATTACTGCTTCATTTTCGCTGCTTGCGTTGTCTTGGAGGAAAACCTTATTAAAGAATCTCCTGTGTACGCTGCCAATGCCTTGTAAAATCTAATGTATGTTATGTATGATAGTGTACTACAAATGTATTTTGAAATGACTCGTACAATTAATAGCTAATGATACATTTGCCATTACAAATGTTTCCCCCAAATTAAAATTACTTAACCTCATGTAATGCACCAACAAAGAGATAGCTAGATAGATAGATAGATAGATAGATAGATAGATAGATAGATAGATAGATAGATAGTGGGAGAGAGAGAGACCTACAGACAGACAGATAGATAGATAGATAGATAGATAGATAGATAGATAGATGGAGAGAGAGAGACCTACAGACAGACAGACAGACAGATAGATAGATAGATAGATAGATAGATAGATAGATACAGGGAGAGAGAGAGACCTACAGACAGATAGATAGATAGATAGATAGATAGATAGATAGATAGATAGATAGTGGGAGAGAGAGAGAGACCTACAGACAGACAGATAGATAGATAGATAGATAGATAGAGAGAGAGAGACCTGGAGACAGACAGATAGATAGATAGATAGATAGATGAGATAAATAGGGATAGATAGATAGATAGATAGATAGATAGATGAAGGATTGACATATAGAGGGGGATAGAGAGATAGACAGATAGATAGATAGAGAGATAGATAGATAGATAGATAGATAGATAGATAGATAGAGGGAGACCTACAGATAGATAGATAGATAGATAGATAGATAGATAGATAGATAGATAGATAGATTGACATATACAGGGAGAGAGAGAGACCTATAGATAGATATATAGATAGATATGAACAGACTGAGATAAATAAAAAGTGTCTGATTTCTCATGGTGTGCTCCAAGCACAAGAGCCAAAAATGGAATACTGCTGCCATATGTGGCCTGGAACAGCCAATTCCTCACTTCACAGTCTTAATGGAATTCAAAAGGGTCTACGAGTTGTGGTCGATTAATTATTTTCCAATCTACAATTCCAACGAGGGAAAAGTGTGTATATTAAAAAGAAGAGAGAAACCGAAAACGTTTTTTTGTTGTAATGTGGATTTTTAAAAGATATGATGGCAAATTTTCCATAATTTTGCTACATTGGTCCGTGGAGATTTCACATATTATCAAAAAATAATTATTTTTTCTTTATATTTTTTGATGTTAAATACTCTCGAATGAGACATTTTTTTTGTGTTTGATCCAAACGTCTTTCTTGAACTGGTAAGAAAAGTTCTGCGTGAAGGGTTTTCAAACAAGATTGGTTTGAGAAATGAATCGCGAGTTATCGGCATGTTTTCTTTAATGACCTCCCTATTAGATAGCTGGCCATATATATATATATATATATATATTTTTAGAATTCTGCTACTTTTAAGATTTACGAAAAGAGATATTTTATATATGAGTTGCAATATTAAAATTATTAAAATAATATTAAAAATATTGCATTAAATATATAAGGTCATTACTTTTTAAAATTCAAGTTTTCTAATTTTGAAGATTGTACGTGGTCAACTTGAAATTTTATGGAAGGCATCATGTCGGATAAGGGACGTTTTGTATTTAAAAGTCCAAGTAATTTTGAACAATACATATATAGGGATGTGTGTGTGTGTGCTTGTGTGCATCAATTTTGTGGACTTTAACGAAGAGATAGACGAATATTCCAAAACCTGTGATTTAAAGACAGTCTCAACCATCAATATCATTTTGTTTTCTTTATTTTTTTCGATGTTTTCGACTTTTGAGACATCTTCAAATATTTTTCTTTTAGTGAAGTTTGTTTTTTTCTTTCTTGAACTGGTAGTGAAAAGGCAATCAATGAAGGATTCAATCTCAAGGAAGATTGGTTCTGAAAATGATATTTTATTTATTTTTTTAATTTTTTGTCTCTTTCCAAATCACTCTTCATCTTCTCGTTTTAGATATATCTTCATCTTATCGATTATATATATATATCTTATATTTATAAAATTTTATATATTTCTTTGGAGTCTATAAAAAATTATTTTTAAGCCCTTTTATGTCTTTAAAAATTAGCCAATATTTTTGAATATATAGGTATATAAGGATCAAAAAATTATTAAAATAATATATAAAATATAGTGTGTGTGTAAATATGTAAGGTCATATATATATTATATTTATAAATAAATGTATTCAATATATAAATATGAACAAAATTTCACAAATGGAAGATTGATATTTTTGTATAAAGGAATCGATGTCGGAAGACAATACAGTGGATAAAATTTCGAATTAAAAATTTATATATATATATATATATATATACACAGAGAGAAACAAATGTGTGTGTGTGTGTGTGTGCACACACAAGTATATATATATATATATATATATATATATATATATATATATATATATATATATATATTTTAAACGATCTCAACCATCAATATCATTTTGTTTGTTACTTTTTTTTACTGATTTCGACTTTCTTTATATTCATCTTCAAATATTTATATATATATATATTTATTTATATATATATATATATATATATATAATATATATATATATATATATATATATATAGGAATATATAATGAACCCTCTATTTTATTTATTTTTTTTAATTTGAGGATCTTTCCAAATGTAATTCATCTTCATGAAATTTTTGCGATCTTCATCTTCTGGATTTAAGATGTGACAGTGATTTTCAAAGGAGGCCACATATGGAAAATTTTGGATTATTTATATTATAAATTAATTGATTTAAAATATGGTTTTTTTCACACAATTCCCTTCCATCTTTGCAAAAAAAATTAACCAATTTTCGTTGAATATAGGTATAAATTTAAAAAAAAAAATTAAAAAAAATCAAAAAAAAATGTAACCTCATATACATACTTAAACTTGATGTTAAAAATAATATATAATATAATATATTTAATAATTTAACTGTTTTCAATATAGTAAAATAGAAATTAAAAACAAAATCTTTCAAATCGTAGATTAAATTTTTGTATAAAGGAAAAAAAAAAAAAAAACGAAAATCATTTAAAATGACTTCATAATTTGAAATTTTTTATATAATATATAAAAAAAAACAGACGACAAACAACTGATGTCAGGTTAGACATAAAATACATCCCTACCTCTTACCAAATTATATATATATATATATACAATGATATGACATAGGAAAATATAGACATATATATCAATTTCATGAACGATTCTGTAACCATGGAAACGTGATTTTCTGTGTCTTTAAAACCCTTAATTTTTAAAACTTTTATACCAAAATTCGCATGAAGATGAAATGGAACTAATGCTTTTATTTATATATAAAATATAAATTGGGGTTTTAGCTTATATATTTTGAAACATGGTTGGAAACTGTTTCAAAAAACCAGGATTTTAAATCAATTTAATTTTGATTAATGTCTGTAAATTTTTGAGCGATAATTTTAAAAAATAAAAATATCTATAAGAACACAGGATTTTTATATCTTACTGTGAGGATTTTTATATATATATATATATATATATATATATATATATATATATATATATATATATATATATATATTAATCATTTCACGCCAGCAAGGTAGAACTCCCACAAGTATTTACAGAAAATGAAAGAGAATATTGAGATTGGAGAGTGTTGAGAAAAGAACAAAAGATGAAAGAGATTTAAGAAGGCAGAAGATGGCGATTGACGTTGCATTTAAATGCTGGTATCAGTGGAAGTAAACGGAAAGAAGTTCCACACATGGGAAGTGAAAGAAAAGAAATTGTTGAAGTAGAAGTATCGATTGATTTTATCTATTCCAACGAAAGAGTAGGACTTACATGCGTTTAAATTCATGTAGTCAGGGCAGGAGAGAAAAATGCTCGTCAGAGGAGTTGACATGAAATATTTATAGAAAAGGCAGAGGGAAGCCACGTCACACCGGTGTGGAAAGCCGAGGTACCTGGTCAGGATCGATTGAATTACAAACCCTTCTTTGGATTTAGTCAAGAATTTCTAGACGTACAGCAAAAGAAGAAGGCCAAATATAGCAACAGATTTCAACGTATGAACGAATGGTAGTTTTGTAAGTGTGTAAGATTATGACAAAAAAGTGTGACCCAACTTTCCTTGTAGTAGATGCAGCTATTGATTCGATATAGTTGCTTCACTTGAAGTCAGTGGAAAACGTGAGGCCATGAAGGCGCATTGTGTTGCTCCTCAGGAGTCTAGCGTCCCTGATAGCAGGGACAAAAGGTTCTCTTTGGTGGTTAAATGAATGTAGTTGTGTTTTGAAGGCGTTAAAATTTATAATCCATTTCCTGCACCAGCTAACTATTGATTGGAAGTCCTTTTCAAGAACTGCTGTCAGCTTTACGTTGCCATATCTTGCGGATTTTCTGTTGAGGCAGGAGTAAAAAGTAGTATTATCTGCATAAATAATTAGTTGGGAAATGATGACATCGTGGAGAAGATTGATGAAGATCAGAAATATCGTAGAACCCAGGATAGAGCTTGCGGGTGGGGACAGTCGCGTTCGGATGAAATGATACAGCTATAATCTATATATTTAAAAGCATGCTTCTGTATTTCCAGACATGTAGTGGAGGCGCGGTAGAAGAATGTATAGCGGCTCAGACTGAGGAATCGGAGTTCGAATTCCAGTCGAGTTCAAGTTACATTCATTTACGTCCTAATATCTTTGGTAGATGTATAAATCCATCTCTTCTTCTCATAACTATGGATAACTTTGTTTTAAGCATTTCACCCCAAGCAAGGCGGGAGTGCCACCAACACACAAGGGGCTCCATACATTGAAATCAAGACTAAAGTGGGTTGTTTGAGGAAAGGCATCAGAAGATGTTGATTGACATTACATTTGAATAAGTGAACATTATCGCTATCAGGGAAGCATAAAGAGGGAAGGGAGTTCCACTAGTGAGAAGTGCAAGAGAAAAAGCTGTTGGAGTAGAAGAGGCGGTTACATTTAACTGTTTCGAAAGGGGTGGGACCGTGATGCCAACCTAGTAGCACGCTTAAATTCATGCAGCGAAGGCACCACACCATATTTGTCAGCAGTATTCAATGCAAGGGCGAATGATATGCTAAAGGATATGCTAAAATCAACAATGAAACTTGGGAAGATTAATGATCATTAAAAAAATAAAAATAGCTGTCAGGACGTCACAATCAGAGGTACGCAATAAAAAAAACCTCCGAAACAGAGCTTATTCTCCCTTGACAACCCTGAGAACCGCCTGGTATTCGATACACGGAGCATTCTATTGGAAGTAGTTGAAGTAACGACATTTGCGCGAATTCTTTCACTGTATTTAAACGTTTAATCATATGATATTTTATTTACAGGTGATTGTTTGGTTTCTGTCATTTTATCAGCAAATTTTCTTAACAATATGTCTCATTTCTCTTTCTTTACATTCACAAAACCAGATTTTCCAATATTTCTAAGATGCTTAATCTGCTTGTGTTTCTTTATTACACTTTATCAAAGGATGAAAGCTTTACGTGCAGTTTCGCAATTGTTCTCAGATCTCTTTTTGTGACATTAACTCCAATATTCTGGTTCTTATCTTACCAATATTAACATTTCGCTGATTGTTCTCTGATCTTCGTCCAAACTTTTCGCAAACTCTAACGCTGTGGTTCAATCACAAAATAAATTTACAATATTTTCTTTCTCCTTTGATCTTTCATCTTTCTTATGACCCATAACAATCTTTGGATATCTGAAAATGAAAAAAATAAATATATATTTTTATATATATATATATATATATATATATATATATATATATATATATATATATATATATATATATAAATATATTTATATATATAATAATAAAAAGGTTTTCAATGGTCATAATTTATTCCATTGGAATTGTAAATACGATCCAATTCATCAGACCAAATTCAAATATATATATATATATAAATATATGTGTGTGTGTGTGTGTGTGTGTACATATATATATATATATATATATATATATATATATATATATATATATATATATATATGTGTGTGTGTGTGTGTGTGTGTGTGTGTGTGTGTGTGTGCAAATAAATAGAAAAATAGGAAAGAACACGTTAGGTAAATAATCCGAAGTTCTTTAGTATTTTTGTTTTTATTTTCAAAAAAAAGTGCTCAATACAAAAGTAGAGCCTAAATGAAAAGAGAAATTTATTTACTGAAAAAAAAATTTGAACAAATAAGTATAAACATTTTTTTTTTGCTATTCTCTGCCAGCCACAATGATGCAGAACGCATCGAACCATTGCCAGTGAGACACGCTGCATAAGTCACTCCGTTTCGCGAGGCTCGTCCCTTAATCGAAACGCCATCCCGCCAAAGGAACGCCATCGAACGAGGGCCAATAACCCCAGAAGTCTCCACTGCCACAGGAGCCTAAATTATAATTATAATTATTTCGCTTGAGGATGAAAAAGAGGTTTGGTTTTTTTTTTTTTGAAACATAAGAACTCTTATGTAGCGAAGGAACCATTTTTTTAAATAGCTATATATATATATATATATATATATATATTTGGTGGGTATATGTCTATGTGTGTGCGTGTATGTGAAATGGATTAAATCTGATAAATATTTTAATATATTTTCTGTTTATACGATTTATATGGATACACTTATTTGAGTAAATGTTCTGTTTCTTAATTAACCATTATTAATTCCATTTACCGGCCTCAATATCGGTGAAAGCATGTGTTTAAAAGCAGAAATTCGAGCTTCGATAAACTGTAATGTGGCTGAGCGGTCGTCCCACGTCAAGCTCAACAACGCTTCCATATAGGATACAGGTTCGATTCCTGTCGGAGGACGGATACTCTCTACGAAAATTTTCGAACATTCAGTCTGTTTAATGTAATTGATATGTTTAATTAAAAACGGAGTATTTATTCAGATAAGAATATATATATATATATAAAATATATATATATATATATATATATATATATATATATGACTAAATGTTTGTCATGTGATTGACGTTACATTCAGCATACCGACTCCAGAGTTTTGTAGGCGAACCTGTCTGTCCACTCAGAATTATCAGCAATTTACTGGTAAATATTTTTTTCTTTTTAGATATTTTATATTGGTGTGCGCCCGCCCAAAACCTGCGTGCGCCCGCCCGCCCGCCTGCGTGGATGTGCGTATGTGTAGGGAGACGTGAACATTTGACCTTTTCGTTTTTTTTTTTTATTTTATACCCGCTCTTTAGGTATTTCTCTTTCTTTTCTTTTTTTCATTAGTTGCCATTTTTGTGATGAGGTGTTCTAATTTGTAAAGATGCCACCAATTTTAATTTTTCTACATTCTAGATTTTTTGCTATGGAACTGTGAAATCAGCGCAATCTCAGTAGATTTTCTCGGTGAATCTTTTTATCTCCTGATCACATTGGCGTTTATGAAGGCAAAATTGTAGCAAGAATATTTTCAGTGAACAACCATTCCATTCAAAATCCTGTCCAAAGTGATCGGAAGAATAAAACATACTCTGGATGCATGAAATCTAAGCTTCACGCCGGCATGACTCGATAGGAATCAAAACATGGAATATTAGTAATCAATGAACAATTATTGCATACAAACTTTTTGTAATAACTCGAACAAAGTAACCTTTGATCCTGTAATGCGTAAGCCTCCATAAAACAATGAACAAATAGGTGTCAGGTGTTTAGGCAAATATTTATCGTTAAAAACGAATACGATTTTTTGTCATCCTAAGAATAGACTTGAATGGAATAAATTGATATTCTCATTTTGGTATCGGCGTTGAGGATTGGTGTTTGGTTAAGATAAGATACATTATTTATAAATATAAATGACAATAGGAAAACTTTAATAGTTGCCGACGCGTTTCGTCCAATGTGGAGTTTCTCAAGGCAAAACAACGGAATGAATTTATTAAAACAAAGTAACTAATAATAAAAAAAACGAAATGTCCTTAGTAACTAGAAGAATTTAGGGAATGCTATATTCATGCTGTTAACTGAAAATTACGTCAATTACTGCCACGTATGGACATATCATTATTGCTGTGTTGACGGATTCAACCATTTTCTTTCGATTTCTTGATATTGTTGTGTACATTTGCTTGGGAGAGTAGTAATTCTATTAAGAAAGGTCAAATAGGGAAAAAACCTGGGCGTAGATTATTATTTGGCTAATATTCAATGGCGGCACTCTCTAGGATTTTCCTTCTGAGTGAGTTATTTTATTTTTTTATAAGTGTAGCATTTTTAAAATAATTTTTTTTTATTATTGATTATTAAGTTGACATCTCAATAATAGTCAATAATAAAAATTTTTAAAGAGAATTAAAAAAAAAGATTACTAGAAGTAAACTTATATTTTAAAATAAAATTTTATTCTTTTAATGTACTTTCTATGAATATTTTTCTAATCGACTATTTCATAGAAAATCCCCAAAATTTAAAAAAAAATTTAAATCACTAACAAACATCAAATTAAATTATTTGTAGACAGTTTAGAGACATTCAAATTTATATCAAACATTATAATCTTTATGAACCCCCAAAATAACACTTTCAAAGTAAAACAAAATAACAGCCATTTTTTTTTTTTACAAAGAAAATAAGTGACACCTTCTCTCATAACTTCCTTCTCTCTTTTTCTCTCTATGGGTTTTTTCTTCTCTACCCCTTCGATATCAATATATAACTTCCGTTAAGTTAACCGTTTAAATGTGACAATATCAATCATGTCTTCTCTCTCCCCCCTCACTTCCTCAATTCGTTAATTTACATATTTTTAATGGCCGTTCAAGGTAACAAATATGGCCTTAACCTCGAATTAATAAATGCCAGGTTGATCAGGAGAAAGAAAGAGTCAGTGAAAAAAATGCATTGAGAGTGCGCTGATCTCACAATTACTGATGATAAACCTAAGGCTCCGTATTGGGATCTGATCGAAGAGAAGTACTGTCAATCGTCTTGACCGTGGTGTACTAGTCTGTCGAACATTTTATATACATATATATATATATATATATATATATATATATATATATATATATATATATAGAGAGAGAGAGAGAGAGAGAGAGATGATAAAAATATAGTTTATACGTATGGTATATTTATGTTATCAGTGATAGACGTATGTAAATATACGGATTCGTGCTTAAACTCAATAATTATATATATATCCCTCAATTTCTAATTATATATATATATATATATATGACAGAATAATGACAAAAGGGTAAAGAAAGAATAGGAAACGTTTATCAATCTGAAATGTTTCAGCTTCATTAGAATATGAGATATGGAATAAAAGAAAAAATTTTTTTTTTTATTTTCATTGGTTTATCAAGTGTTAACGTGCATTTGACATTTTAAACAACGTTAGTATAATTGATGACATTCCAGATTTAAGGAGAGCCTTGAAAAGAAGGGCCGTGTCTCTTAAAATAAAAATACCAGAATTTCTTTTTCTCCATATCTTATTCTCTAATGAAGCTTTATTAAGCGTGAAAACTGTTAGATTAGTAAATGTTTCTTATTAGTTATTATACTATCATATATATATATATATATATATATATATAATATTATATAGGTTTGCCATGCAGACATACTATTTACATAACTATTTTTTTTAATTTGCACACGTTCTATGCAAGATGTTGAGCTCTTTTTGTTATAAATATCATACCCTAAACCTATATTTTGTCAACCACCCAGACAAACAGAGCCACACACAAACGCACACAAACGCACACACACACACACACACATATATATATATATATATATATATATATATATATATATATATATATATATATTTATATAGTCAATCAAAATAAGCATAAAGAATGGCAGAAAGAAATAGCACCGAATTGAAACTTTGTAAATACGCCGCTTGTCAGAGTCCAATTTGTCAAACCTTTCATCAAACAACAAATATTTTTCATTGTTTTAGTCATTGTTCTTTGGAATGTCAATGATCAAGTCGAGAGTTTTACAGCACCCCTTCGACAATGCCATAGATAGATAGATAGATAGATAGATAGATAGATAGATAGATAGATAGATAGATCAGTGTATAAAAAATCACGAGCAGTTTTTCTTTTTAAGCATAAAATCTATTTCTTTTTTTAATCGCATTTCAAGCAAAGATACAAAAAAACTCTCATCATTAACTTCAGAAATTTCGGAAGCTCTATGCGAAAATTTGCATTAACACATTTTTTTGTCTTTTAACGAACGCCATAGATTTTATTTTTTGACGTTTTTTCTTTCTGTGGATGTCTAATGTTTACTTATGAAAGTATATGTCTGCCTATGCACTATAATGGTTGCGTGTTTTTAGGGAGATAATAGTGTTTATGTGTATGTTTTGCGCGTGTGTGCATGTGTGTGTCAGGTAGTGTGTCTGTACGAAAATATACGAGTGCGTATGTCGCAACATACAACCATTGACATAAAACCATTGCATGAGAAAGAGGTGGGGATATGTGTGTGTGGTGTAAGAGAATAAGAGTGCGTGAGTGTGCGTATACGCTCGAGAATGACTGTGCGTATTCGATTGAGAGAGTACATGTTTATATGTATGTATGAGAGTGTATGTGTGTGTATGAGAGAAACACTGCTTGTCTATTCATTTCAGAAGTCTTTGTGTATGTGTTTGAGCAATTGTATGTAAGGTATGGAACTCTAGCAGGCTTTATCGAGTTTAAACACGGCTTTTTCTAGGTGAACTATCATTATCAACTATAAAATCATTAGCCAAGGGAGATGAATATTTTTCACCCGCTAAAAAAACATACCCTTTCATTTTGAAGAGAAAACTCTTTGAAAACTTTAGTCGATAAGAAACTATTTTTTTAAACGCCATAAAGTGAAATTACTACGCTCTTTTAACTGTTAAATGTTTTCTTTTAAAGGCATCCTTGTAATAATGGAATCTGTTAATACACAATAAACCACGTTTAACGTAATATGTGTGGGCTTATCATGATTTATTCTTTTTAGATTGACTGAGAGTGGTTTCTTTATTGTGGGTTAAACAATATCAAATATATATTCAGGTTATATAGCCCAGACTATTAACAATCTAAATTAGCACCAAGTATATTTTTTAACTGTTTTTCCCATAAATCAAAACTTATAGACATTGAATTAAACCTCAAGATGAATATTTGATTAATAAACAATGTACAGACATCACTTAACATCCAGTTAAACAGGGCATAAATTAATCGATTGACTGATTTTTTTGGATAAACGTTTTGTTGTTTTTTTTTTTTACATTAACCCTTTCACCAGTGGTCGCTCTTCGCTGCTATAAATAGCCGTGGACCCTTCGCCTCGCTCTCTCTTTTTCCTTCAGGCCTGTGCGCCGACACCTTGAGGTAAATCTCTCCTTTTCATCAGGCTTTCAGCTTACAACCTCGAAATGTAGGCGCTAACAAGGGATAGCGTGGAAACACGCTAAGCACAATACACAGACACGCACATACAGAATATTCACACGCACGCACATACAGAATATTCACACACTTCGTCCTTTGTATTTTTTCCATGTATTGTAAAATGTTATTAATATATATTTGTATATACATATATTATCGGTCTATAATTTTGTTTGCTTTCTTTGCCTTCTTCTTTGGACTTAATCAGAGTCCAACTTTTTATGTAGTTGGGCCCGGCGCGCAGGAGAATCTGAAGCTTACATGCGTTTCTTATACATCTGACTTCTATCAACAACATAACAGCCACGGCCTTCTACAACACGTTATCTTGCAATAAACGACCGAAACTCAGCTTTAAAACACCTTTGGTAGTTTGTTTACGGAAAACAATATTATTATGATATCAGCTAGATTCCTGATCCACACTCAAATCAAACATGATCTTACATTCATTCTTCTAGTTGTTTTATATGGTTTAGATTAAGTAACACGGACTCAAAATCTTTCAGCTCAAATAGAGCTATATATCTGAGATGAGGTATTATGATTACTTGCATTATTTACATTATTCGGACCGTAATCCTCATCTTCATTGCCATATTCACAAAGTTTCGGCTTCAATATCTCTGAGATGAGGTATTATGATTACTTGCATTGTTTACATTATTCGGACTGTTATCCTCATCTTCGTTGCCGTATTCAAAACGTTTCGGCCGTTGTACGCTCCAGCCTTCTTCAGGGGATTGGAATTTCGAACCTAAATCTTTATTTTGTTTACCGCGACAGATTGCTCTAGTTCCACGTGCCGTGCCTCTTCAGAATGTCTCCATTATTTCCTTTTAACTCAACTCTTCAACTTTATTTTATTTTCATTTATTTATTTATTTATTTATTTTTTTTTTTTTGGCATATGTGTTCACCAATGTAACGGTGTGTTATTGAACTCACAACTCTTTGGGTCACTGGATCCAACCAACGTTTATATCCATAAGTTGTCTAAAATAAAAATACTTTTAGAAATGTGCCCAATTTTCCTCCATTCTTTGATACATCCCGTTGCAAATCCTTGAAATTACTTATTAAATAGATCTAGGTAGGGTCTGCGAGATTGTGTTTTGCAGATGTACTGGCTGAACAAAGAAGTTTAGGATAATCAAAGCAGTGGTGTGCGGGACAAGAAATTAGTTTACTGGAGATCACGATACATTTTACAGTAAATATTTTAGTTAACAATCTACCGTAGACGTAAACAATGACAAATAAGTTCTTAATATCTAATAGGAACATCAGACTATACATCACGTTAAGAAATCTTGCATATTTAGAGTTCTCGGAAAGAACAACTTTTCAAAGTCAGTCAACTCAGCTGGCACAAAGCGGAAAGATCTTTTTTTCGAAACATATTAAACTATTTTTTTAGAAACATATTAAACTATTTCTATTTTTCCTCAGATTAGGTCATTTGCAGTGGTGTGCAGTACTATGAATCTATTTTCGGGGGGTATGATGAAATTTGCTTGGCCTTGAAAGATATTGCGTCATCCGTGATTGCAACAGATTTTCATCACGCCCAGACACTATTGTCTCGACTATCGATTAGTTGTCTCATGGCAATTGTCTGCGCTTGACGTTACTCCAAAGAAGCGTTTGGAAATTGTAACACTGCACAAACACACTGGCAAGTTTTACCACTGAGCAAATCAAAGTACTAAACTCGCTCGGAAACTCTCCTGATTTAAATCAAATCGAGAATCTGTAGTCAATCTCCAAGAAGCGGCTTCGTGGAATGGACATACGAAGTACTAATATGTGCACCAGGCCATGTTTCATTGAAAAATACGAAAAATAGTATATAATAATGGAATTATTCGTTTTCTTTCAATTAATTTGCAAAACGGTGTATGATTAATGGCATTAAACATCTACAACTATTTCTTTGACGTGTCATTTCCCTTCAGGTCATAGGTGATCCAGAATTTCATATCCATTGGAGCTCAAGGTGATATTCGTTATTTTACTCTCTCTCTCTCTCTCTCTCTCTCTCTCTCTCTCATATCCCTATTCCTTTCACAGAAATAGGAATATGAGAGGTGTTTTATTTTCTGTATCTCTCTCTGCCCTTTTTGCCCTTTGACTGTCAAATTATCAGAGTCCGTTTTCCTCGTTTTACGCTGCAGAAATCCCAACTGTCTCTCTAGGATTCTGAAAGTGTAAGTGTCCATTTTGTTTTCATTTTCCTTAAAACATCCTTGGTACCTCAAATATTCCGTTCATGCCATTCTCAGCATTCTTCTGTATATTTCCTCAAAGGCTTACTGCTGCATAACGTTGAACAACGGTTCCCATAAGATCATCGAAGATAAGCAACGTCAAGCCTGGTCAGTATATAGATGGGTAATCGCTTGCGAATACTAGGTGCTGTAAGCTTGTATATGAGGGTATATAATAACTCGGAATTGTTAATCAGAGAGCCGAGTTCCGATTCTCGTTTGGTTCGTTATATTACCTTACGCGTAAATAACCTTGGAAAAGACATGAATCCACTTCTTCTTATCACACTTATGGTTAAATTAATACGACTTCTATCACCGAATCATTGGAAATCAAAAAAAAAATACTTACAATCTAAAAATAGTTTCTGAATTTAAATAATCTACACAGGGTTAATGAGCCTTAGAAAAAGAAATAAATTGTTGCATCAAAGTAAGAAAATTCCTCGCTGTAGATAGAAGAGGATTTGTAGCAGTTTAATACACTTTTTCTTGCACCTGATGAATTTTTCTTGTCTCTTATTACGTTTTTTAGATTTTTGAAGGCATTTTCTGCTATTCAATTGCACATGCAACTATCAAATTACATCAAAAACTATCCTTTTGCCTTATTAACTACATATGCTAAAATCGAATCGTCCAGTTTAACACAAAATAATTGTTAATATATGAATATCTCCTCTGAAGTGCTCCAATTAAAAATGTGTCTTTTTCCATAAGGAGTTGTGATAATTCTCCAAAATATTTGCCATTATGAGTAAATATTACACGCTTCCTTTATATTTAATCCTTGGATTATCTCTATCTTCATATTTATCGTCGCTGATTCTAATATTGGATTTAAGTTTTTCTTGCTTTCTATATTACTCAGAGAATTGCTAATACTGAATTAATTGATATCATCTTCTCTTTTCCAGATGTGATTTTCTTCTGATAAATAATATATGGCAGAAAATATCTCTTTTCAGAAGAGACGCCCTGTTTAAGAGATAATATAAAAATAGCTACCATTTAAATATTATATGGTTTCTTTAATATCTAAAAGTTTCAAATCTTCCACACAAAGCTTTTTTTGTGAAACAATGATTTGATATATATATATATATATATATATGTGTGTGTGTGTGTGTGTGTGTGTGTGTGTATTGAGGAATATTTCTTTGCATACTAAATGATAACCAAATAAAAACTGTCAGTTCCACTGACTCGGCGTGAATAAACAACGAAATGAACTTGCGTGACAGATCTCTGATCGCTTTGTAATGAAGAGATTTAAATTTATATCTTACGTATGTTTAGCGTAATAGGTAAAGAGTTAGTGCATCTGTAGCAGTAGTGCTGTAGCATCTATGTAAAGCAGAATAAAAAAATGAAACCACTTGATTAATGAATGATTGTTGATTCATAATCATCCTGTTATCAAAAAACTTTAATATTTCTACTCTCTGACTAAACCTTATAAACATAACAAAAAATGTTATACAATAATATTCCTCTTCCTATGCTCCTTCTCTTTGTTTTCGAACTATTTTCGATCTCCAAGTAAGTTCAACTGATGTATTTTCCTTATTACATATACTAATTGCATTTTATTACGTATGCTTAACGTAGTGTAGCTGTAGTTCTGTTGCAGCGAAGTGACTCCTGACAGGAATTAATATCAGTCGGTAGATGGATAATAGTTGGGCTAAAAATCCTTGATTGTTCCCTTATTAAGAGATTTAAAATTGCTACACTTAAATCTTATGTATGTTTGACTTAAGAAGTAACGAAGTAGTGTAGCTATAACAGCCAATTAACGTAGGCAAGACATAGATTGAGAGATGACTGATTATTGCTCAACAGAAGCCTAATCGCCATTTTATTAAGAACTTTAAAATTTCTGCTTATAAACCAAACCTCATCAATATAACACAAGAAGAAATCATTATATCATTAATGTTCTTTTCTATCTTTATTTCTATTTTCAAAAATACATTTTAGCTAACTAAAGTTTTTTTTCAGTATGCCAGACTTCATGAATTTTATATTACTGGTATTGACTATTTTCACTATGGCATATATTTTTAGAGTATTTATTACGTATATTGAAAGTATATGTAAAGAGGTAGTGTAGCTGTGGCTGTGGAGCTGCAGCAGCGAAAAATTCATACAGGAAATAACAATGACCGTTGGATAAATGGTAGTTGGATACTCTTCCTTGATCGCTTTATTATGAAGAGCTTTACAAATTCTACACTTAAACCTGACGTAAGTTTGACGTAATAGGTAAGGAAGTATTGTAGCTATAACAGCCAATTAATGAAAACAAACATAAAATAGATTGATCAATTGCGCGACAGATCCCTAATTGCCCTTTTATGAAGAGCTTTAAAATGTTGTTCTTAAATCAAACCTTATGAAAAAATGATGATGCCATCGAATTTCTTTCTATATTATTCGCATAGTGTTCCCTAAGCCTTCCAGTTAGCATGCCCCATCTTTGGATGAATTTGGGCGTTAACTTCAGGCCTTTGATCTCACAGTAGGACACACTTGCCCAAATGGACCAATGCCTCGTCTATGTCAAATTAATTTGCGCTAGGTTTTGCCATCCTGTATTCTGATGAACTCCTTCTATACACCCTTGTGCAAATTAATTGAAACAACTGCTTTAGTTTCCTTTCTTCCACCATTCGGTCAATCTTAGACCCACTGGAATGACAAGGTGTAATCCATTTCTATTTTTTTTCAATTTAGGCCATTTGCAGTGGTGTTCAGCAATATGAATCTATTTTCGAGGTGGTTCATGAAATTTGTTTGACGTTGAATGATATTGCGTCATCCGTGATTGCATCAGATTTTTATCACGCCCAGACATTATTGTCTCGACTCTCGATTAGTTGTCCTATGGCCATTGTCTGCGATGGACGTTACTCAAATGATGCATACACTGAACGAAGACACTGGCAAGACTTAACAGTGAGCAAAACAATGTACTAGAGACTGGCCTGGAATCTCTCCTTATTTTAATCCAGTCGAGAATCTGCAAGGAACGATTTCGTGGAATGGACATACGAAGTACTAACATGTGTGCTGGATCATGTTTCATTGGAAAAAAACGAAAAAAAATGTAAATTTAAGGGAATTATTCATTTTGTTTAAATTAATTTGCACAAGGGTGTATATATAATTTGCACAAGGGTGTATATAAATGTATGTTACATAATTACAAGTCACATTGTATTTTATATCTTTTTCCTTAAGTAGAAGACCACATTCCAGCATTACTCAATTCTTTGTCGGCCATATTACAGAAAAATTGAATTCCGCTTTCTTCAAAAGCCGAACAAGAATTTATTTTTCTCCTTTTAAATAAGTAAACATACAATGAAGAACTAAAAGAAAATATTATCAACCAAGAATAATGGCAAAATTAGAAACGATTAAAAATTAAAATGATGGAGGAAGAAAACCAAAATAAAGATCTAGCCTAAAAATACGCACAAAGAAATAACCGCATGGTCCGGAACTAAAAACATTGTTCCCTGTAAGCAACATTTATCCACTGGGGATTACGAATGAGCCTCGCCCTTTGAGCCTCCGACCACACAACCCGAATATTTATACTAGCTAATCAGAAAGCCATTCGTAGTCCGTTTAGGATTAAACTTCTGCACTGAATCGAGGAAAGGACACCAACAGCCTGTCCTCTCGACCCATCTGAATCTTGATAGTGCCCTCAAGAGAAAGGACAACGATCTAAAAATGGAAAGTAAGTTTTAAAGTCCTATAAAAGAACAGGATTAACATAAAGGTAGACACTTCTGAACAATAAATTTCGATGTATCGTTCGATATGGCTCCCATCAAAATGATTGCCTTTGATCTGCATATGTCGAAACATGAAACGAATCCCATATGTCGAAACTAAGAATTTATCTGTTCCCACATTAATA